GTCAAGGCTACAGTTCTGTGATACAGCATTTTAAGTATTTTTGGTGTGAAGGATAAAAACAGCCATTGCTTTTGTGGGGTGCATAAGCACGAGGGCAATCATTTCTGTGGTTCCTCCATTTGCCGTGTATCAGCAGTTGACTGGTTCAACTAACGTTTGCTTAAGCTTAGAAGAGAAAATAGCAGAACGTGGTATTTTGTAGGGTTGTAGCCCCAACCAACCACCCTTTATATTTTTCTTTAGTGAAAACAGGAGGAAGAGTATTATTGCTAAAACCTCTGCTAGTGCTACACTGCCTCCCAAAGGTTAAAATAGAAGTTGGGTCGGGGAAATATCCACTCCACCTTGCCTTGGGATCCCGTGATACATGCCATCATCTTAAGACAGTAAGACATTTTGAGTGGACAGAGGGGAGTATTTCAGTCTTAACACATGTTGATAATGTGGTTTTATTATTGAGAGAGCTTAGAAATAGTGGATGTGTTGTGTGCTGAAAAATGGAGATTTAATCTGCTGAATCTTATGGATAGCTAGGGAAGAATCCACTATGAAAACAGCTCAGAGTCAACAGTATTGAGTCAGTTGTGTAACGATCTGTTTGTATATGGTTGCATCTTCTGTACCAACAATTAGCATAACTAGGCAGATTGTGAGTTGCAGGAGTTACTGTAGGTAGAAGTAACTGCCGGCACTTTCCTTTGCACCCATATTTTATCCATTGATGTTTTATATTTTTCAAGCAGGTGCCATTGTGGCGAAAAAGGGAGGGGAATTCATATTAGTTACTAGGTTAATTAGTACAGAATATACACAAAATTAATGTAATGTGTGAAAATGCATCTATGCAGTATTTCTGCTCTGTAGTTACAATTCCATTTGATCTTTGGCTTTTTTTAATAAAGGGGTTTTATGTGCAGACCCTCCATCCAGCAGTTACACAAACTTCATACTCATGAGGAAAGCAAATCTCGGGCAGGCTGGGCATTATTAGTTCAGTGATCTCAGTCCCTAATGTGAGCTTGTTTTTATCAAGGAGGAAGCTAACCAGCTATCCAGTGATAATTCTGCAACAAGTTGACTAAGTAAAGCACAATTTAAAAGCAACACTGCATCCAGAGTGTCAGAATTTTAAAGGACACTTATTCCCCACCTATCCTCTTTTTAGATGAATTTACCTTCTCTGTCTCTTTTCTATGCTGCATTCCCTTGTTTCTGCAGCAGTCCAGGAGCTAAATTTAGCTTGCTAGGAGTTTGAAAGCTAGAGCTTCTCAAATAGCTTTCTCTGAAATCCTACCAGTCTGATGTGTAAGGCCAACTAAGCACAAAAGGCTGGGGTATCTCTGTGGTGTATGAGATTGTGGTGGTAAAGAAGGGAGTTGTAGAATTGTTGGGCACTGGAGAAAACTATGGACAAACTCATTTATTCAAAACAGGATGAGGTTCACCCAGAATGGGTGATTGTCAGCTAACACTTAACATCCAAAAGGTGGCACAAGTACTGAAGATGTTCAAGTTTTGAATTGTTCAGGAGCAGAAGGAGAATTAGGCCTTAAGCTTTAAAAGATGACAGCTAGTCAAAAAAGGCTGAAAGGTATATACTGGAGATATTTGAAGAGAGATATCTTGAATGGGTGTGTATAAAAACATATGGGTGTTTATATACTAATGCTAGAAGTTTCTAACCCAAGATGGGGTCAATAAGAATTTATTTGTTGTCATTTAGTCATGTCCAACTCTTCGTGACCCCATGGACCAGAGCACATCAGGCCCTCCTGTCTTCCACTGCCTCCCGGAGTTGTGTCAATTTCATGTTGTTTGTTTCAATGACACTGTTCAAGCATCTCATCCTCTGTCGTCCCCTTCTCTTGCCTTCACACTTTCCCAACATCAGGCTCTTTTCCAGGGAGTCTTCTCATAAGATGACAAAAGTACTGGAGACTCAGCTATCGACTCTGTCCTTCCAGCGAGCACTCAGGGTTGATTTCCTTTCGAATGGATAGATTTGTTTTCCTTGCAGTCCAGGGGACTCTCAAGAGCATCCTTCAGCACCACAATTCAAAAGCATTTATAAGTAATATAAAGTAAAGTAATTAAGTAATAGAATTTATAAGTAATAGTAAACAATATCAGATTATGGAGAAAGCCAGAGAGTTCCAGAAAAACATCTACTTCTGCTTCATTGACTATGCAAAAGCCTTTGACTGTGTGGACCACAGCAAACTATGGCAAGTCCTTAAAGAAATGGGCGTGCCTGACCACCTTATCCATCTCCTGAGAAACCTATATGTGGGACAGGAAGCAACAGTTAGAACTGGATATGGAACAACGGATTGGTTCAAAATTGGGAAAGGAGTACGACAAGGCTGTATATTGTCACCCTGCTTATTTAACTTATATGCAGAATACATCATGGGGAAGGCTGGACTGGAGGAATCCCAAGCCGGAATCAAGATTGCCTAAGAAATATCGACAACCTCCGATATGCAGATGATACCACTCTGATGGGGGAAAGTGAGTAGGAACTAAAGAACCTTGTAATGAGGGTGAAAGAGGAGAGTGCAAAAAACGGTCTGAAACTCAACATCAAAAAAACTAAGATCATGGCCACTGGTCCCATCACCTCCTGGGAAATAGAAGGGGAAGATATGGAGGCAGTGACAGATTTTACTTTCTTGGGCTCCATGATCACTGCAGATGGAGACAGCAGCCCCGAAATTAAAAGACGCCTGCTTCTTGGGAGGAAAGCAATGACAAACCTTGACAGCATCTTAAAAAGCAGAGACATCACCTTGCCAACAAAAGTCCGAATAGTCAAAGCTATGGTTTTTCCTGTAGTGTTGTATGGAAGTGAGAGCTGGATCATAAAGAAAGCTGACCGCCGAAGAATTGATGCCTTTGAATTGTGGTGCTGGAGGAGACTCTTGAGAGTTCCCTGGACTGCAAAGAGAACAAACCTATCAATTCTAAAGGAAATCAACCCCGAGTGCTCATTGGAAGGACAGATCCTGAAGCTGAGGCTCCAGTACTTTGGCCATCTCATGAGAAGAGAAGACTCCTTGGAAAAGACTTTGATGTTGGGAAAGTGTGAAGGCAAGAGGAGAAGGGGACGACCGAGGATGAGATGGTTGGACAGTGCCATCGAAGCAACCAACATGAATTTGACACAACTCCAGGAGGCGATGGAGGATAGGAGGGCCTGGCGTGCTCTGGTCCATGGGGTCACAAAGAGTCAGACACGACTAAACGACTGAACAAACAAACAAAAACAATCGCAGAAGCCTGCTAGAGTATACAGAAGGCTTTAAAATAAGCATTGTGTAGAGAAAGTGGGTAAATGAAGACCTCTAACATGGAAGATGGGCTTCTGCAGTGAATGTAAAAGGGTGTTGGTGGATTCAGAACAGATCAAAAGAAGTACTTCCACAGTTTACTACCGTAAACAATAAACTTACCTATCAGAAGGTATACATACAGGATAATGGTCCCCGACTTGGACTTAAAGGGGGAATTAAACAGGTTTAAGGAAGAGGAGGCAATTAAACAGCTGTCTTGTTGGCTCAAAATTATTTAAAGTGCCAGTGAGCATGTGCTTTCCGGAATACCAGTTGCTGAGCATCAGGAGGGTGCTACCAGTACAAGCATGTCCTACAGGCTGTTGTCGATTAGTCGTGTCCGACTCTTCGTGACCCCATCGACCAGAGCACCCCAGGCCCTCCTATCTTCCACTACCTCCCGGAGTTTGGACACATTCATGTTGGTAGCTTCGATGACACTGTCCAGCCATCTCGTCCTCTGTCGTCCCCTTCTCTTCTTGCCTTCACACTTTCCCAAAATCAGGGTCTATTCCAGGGAGTCTTCTCTTCTCATGAGTTGGCCACAGTATTGGAGCCTCAGCTTCAGGATCTGTCCTTCCAGTGAGCACTCGGGGTTGATTTCCTTTAGAATGGATAGGTCTTTTCCAGGGAGAGTTAATCCTAGGACTGGATCGACAATGCAGCGGAGAGACCAGATCATAACGTTCTGCCAGTGAAAAACTGGCATCTCCTTGCTGTGTTTTTCTAACTCAACCAAATTATATCTTGGATATCAAGATTTAGGTCCGGGGATGGGCCTTGAGGCGTGTGTTCTGCGTCAGACCGTTATGATGTGGTGAGAGGACCACCTCAAGCGGTACCAGGCGATGGGGGGGGCAACTTTGACGGGTGGGTTTCCCCGCTAGGTGGCGTCGCTGCCTCTATATACTTTGGCTCGATAAGTATATGCTTCTTGCCTGGTTTGCGCCTCAAACTCCGAGGGCGATTCTCCAGCTCCTTCCGCCCTTGGGATTGATTATAAACTTTTTAGACCTAACAAGGCGATGGCTGAAATCAAGCAGTGACTGACAGCTACAGCAGCCCCGCAGAATCTGCGGAGATCCGCTGAGCCAACACCTCTGTTCATGCCAGGGGGCCGCAACCTCGTTGCAACTTATTGCTGGTTTTTCAGTGGCCAATTAGTCGGTAAGGACGACAGACGGCGAAACAGCGGCGAGATGCGTAAGAGCGGCGGGGGTTGAGCAACTCGGCTTCACCCTGCAAAGGGAGGTTTTTCCAAGGCGGTTTCTGCGGTTGGTAGCAGAAACCGAAGCGCCGGATTAAGAGAGGCGCGGACCATAAAGGCGGAACCAGGGAAGGCTGTTGTGCGGTTCGCAGGTGCTTACCCAAGATCTGGAGGTCTGGACCCGGGCGATTTAAAAGACCCTCGCAAAAAAAAAAAAAAAAAAAGCGTGGCGAAGTTGCTTCCGGAGAGCAGGAGGGAACAGCCACCTTCCGCGTGGAGGCGATGCGAGAAGTGCCCACTCCGCTCAGCGGAGCTTCAGGTCCTCCCTTGCGCGGGAAAAAGAGGCAAGGCAGTGGATTCATCAATGGCGCGCGCCAGCTCACATTTCTTTAGTCCTACTTATTGAAGGATCAAAAAATATGTTCATTCTTACTTTGAATAATCAACGCCCGGAGTGCTGCGGGGCGCCTGGCGTGCGGGGCTGAGGCGGCTGGCCGGCGCGGGTGCGCCACGATGGGCTGGGGCTGCGCCTCCTCCTCTTCCTCCTCGCCTTTGGTTCCGCGGCTGCCGCTCGGTCTGCTCGGCCGCCCGCGAGCGCGATGACTCCCTACGACTACGGGCTGCGCGAGGGGCGGCTCAACGAGAGCGCTGCGGAGAAGGAGGGCAATGCCACCGCTCTCCCCGGGGAGGCGAAGGAGGAGGAGTGCGGCTCCGTCTCGGTGGTGTTCCCCTTGACCATGATGATCACGGGCCTGGTGGGCAACGGGCTGGCCCTGCTGCTCGTCTACCGAGCCTACCACAAGAAGGAGAACCAGCGCAAGAAGTCCTTCTTGCTCTGCATCGGCTCTTTAGCCCTCACGGACCTCACCGGGCAACTCTTGACCAGCCCCGTGGTCATCTCGGTGTACCTGGCCAACCGGAGGTGGCGGGCGGTGGACCCGTCGTGGCACCTCTGCTCCTTCTTCGGCTTGAGCATGACGGTCTTCGGACTCTGCCCCCTCTTCATTGCCAGCGCCATGGCTGTGGAGCGGACCTTGGCCATCCGAGCCCCACATTGGTACACTGGCCACATGAAGACCAGGGTGACCAAGTCGGTTCTCCTCAGCATCTGGTTGGCCACCTTCGCCTTTGCCCTTTTGCCCATCCTTGGTGTCGGGAAGTATACTCTTCAGTGGCCAGGGACTTGGTGCTTCATTAGCACCAATGATCAAGAAGGTCCTCGAGTGGGCAACCTCATCTTTGCTTCAACGTTTGCTTTCTTGGGCCTCTTCTCGTTGGCCATCACCGTGGCATGTAACGTGGCAACCATCGTTGCTCTGGTGTGCCGGTGCCGGTCCAAAAGCTCCGCCTCTCAGTCCAGGAAGCAGTGGGGCAGGATTACCATGGAGACCTTGCTCCAGCTTTTGGGGATCATGTGTGTCCTTTTTGCCTGCTGGTCCCCACTCTTGGTAGGTTGCCTTATGTTCTGTCATGTGTGTCTGACTGCTGTAAACGGAGGACTGATGGGTCTTCTTTTAAGGGGATGCATTTGGAAGTTTGCTCCATGAAAGTACCAGAGGCCTTAAAATACGTTCTCAGTGTAAAATCTGAGAACCACACATTTTTGCACAAATGTAAATAAATGCACTTTTTCCAGTTTGTGTTTATGGGGGGGAAGTAGATTAGCTTATAATAGTTTGACAGAAAAGAATGAATATAAAGTGTCACAGTCAACAGAGATCTTACTATCTGCTTGTCTGCTGATGATAACAAGCTAACTTTTCACAGTTTTTCAGAGGGCTTGTTAATGCTGTGTGTGTTAAGTGTGCACATGTGCATACGAGAATGAAATAGATAGCATCCTTCTCAGTGCCCAGCAAGGAAGAGGAGAACCTATAGCCTGTCTTTCGGTTTGTTAAATTTCCCAATATCTAAAGTTCTCAGCAAAGATAGGAGTTCTTCATGTTCTTTACTTTTTAAAACTAGAATCTGAATGTAGCTGAAATGCTCCCCTAATATTCATACTTACACCTGTTTGTTTTGTTCCACTGATGTTTTCAGTCAAACAGTTTTTACAGGTGTTTGAAACAACATGAAAAGCTTTCTGTCAGAGATGTAACTGTGAGGGACCCCTAAAGCATAACCGCTCCTCCCCCAGGGAAAAACAGGTTGCTGTTATATCAGAGTATTTGTTCATTTTTTTACCCAGTGTTCTTGATTCTTGGTAGTTGTGGGTCTCTAGAGCAGCCTTTGCCAACTTGATACTCTCTAGATACTTTGGGCTATTGACTCCAGTCAGATGTAGTGAACAGGACACGTTGTGATGGATCATACAAACTGAAACCCAAGATATCCAAAGAGCACCAGATTGGAGAAAGTCTCAACCAGGGGTGGGGAAACGGGGGCCTGGATATTGTCAGGGAGAGAGTGAGAGAAGGTAAGCATGGCTAGGAATGAATTCTCCAGCTTTCCCAGGCCCAACAAGGCTTCCGTTTCGTTTGGCTTCCCTCTCCTCATTTAATCAAAAGTAACATAGGGTTCTGCCACCCTCTAGTCCACCTGCACTTGTATTAGGCTAGTGTAGCAAAAAACATGCCTTTGCTTTGAAATCTTTCAATCCCTGATTATACTGTTCAGCAAATATAGCCACAATTAAGCTAAACGTTTTGTTTCTCCCTGCCAGTCTCATTAGTATGATGCAAAGGTGGGGAAGTGCATTTCTAGTCCTGTAACTCCAAAGTCGCTGCTGCCACTGCTGGCGACAGACAAGATCTCCTGTGGGATGTTGGCATGGGCAAGATAACCAAAAGGGGCTCTCGGCTGCCTCCTTGCCACTGAGAACCAGTCCTGGTTTTTTTTCCATGTGTTTCTTAAAATTGTTATGGTGCTCTGCCTCCAAGAATGCATACTGGTTGAAAACTATTGAGGGTCCTTCTCCTCACCCCTCAGCTTCATAATACAAGGTCAGTTGTGAAAAGAGAGATTAGTTGGCATAGGGCCACGGCTCAGCTTCATGACTGACAGTTTGGGCCCACGTGTTCCCCAGTCCACATCTAGCTGCCTTAACACACCGAACAACACTGACCTGCTTGCTCCTCCTTGTCCATAAGACCTTGTAAGAGAACTTTAGCTGGGAAAGCATGGCCCAGGCATAGCTCGTCTAAGTGTTGTTGTACCAGTCAAATTTGCTCCCAAATGAATGCAAAACATGGAAAAGTTACCCTTGGCAGCTTGTCACAGGTAATGCTGGCTGGGGGATTCTTGAAGCTGTGGTCCAAACAGTAACTTTTCCAAGCTCCAAGAGTGTGATGCGTTGTGGCTAAAGACAAAGCTTCTTTTCTGAACTTCTTCAGTCCAATTAACAAGTATCTGACATGGCTTGTAGGCCTGGTTTCTGTTTGCAGTCTGTGAGCCTGGACGATCATTCGGCCAGCATCCTTGAGTGTATAAAACTTTTCTACCCATTTAGGGATTATGCACATAAAAACCCTGCTTCCTGGGTTCATGGGTGTGTTAGCTGGCATTTGCTGCTTGTCTGTCTCTTTAGCTAGACACTTAACTAGGAAGTAAATGCATTTCCTTGCTAAGGAAAGAAACTGGTTGGAATAATACCATCTTGGGCAAAAAGGGCTTAGCTGTTTTGTTGCTTTGCCAAAAATCAGACTTCTTTGTGTATTGCTTATTCTTCTGCAGCATGAAATAGAATAACACTTTCATATTTTATTTTGACAGAAAACGAAAGAATGTTGCCACAGAAGACTTAATAAATTTGAAATTAAGGCAAAACTCTCAATATATTTTATTCTCTGACTTTTCTTTTGAGAGTAAACTCAAAATAAGAATGCTTGAGAAGCCAGACTGGCATGACATACTGATGGAAGAGTGAATTGAGAGGGAAATTTGCTTAGGGATGAAATATAGGAAATTTTGAGCAGGGCAGAGAAGAGATTGTATAGTGAGCACCCCATTATGTGGGATTAAATGAGACAAGGATCTGAGGCTGGATACTGAGAGCCAAGCAAGATGTGATAGTAATAAATGTATCTTTTCTTTCAGTTTGCCATTTTTAAGATCTGTGTGGGTCAGTGATAAGAAATGTATAACTCTTTCGTCCTTTGCTGTGTTCCTTTGCATAGGATATGGAGAAGCCGTCCTATGACGGCGCTCTTAGTAGCAGTGGGAAATCCTCTCTTCGTGCCAATGAGGGATTTCCCATTAAAGCAAAGATCAGCTTCATGGAAAAGTTTCTGCTGTCAGCTGCAGGGGAGAAAAACATGAAATATATCCCCTGCAACTGATCCAATACCAATAATGATCACAACACAGCTGGTGGTGCTTGCTGATTTTTTTTTTAATAGGAGCATTAAATGCAAAAGCAGGTGGCATTTAGTTCCATTCTGAGACCACTTGGAAGTAAATGCTGTGAAAATTGATGAAAAACTAAATAGTTGAGGGAGGAAGGGGGAAAGGCTGAGACAGGGTGATAGCATCAAGGGACTTGAAACTTTAAATAAAGGTGAGAAGAAATCACAGACTGTTTCCCAGAGACATGTCAACCGATCACTGTAGTCTTTGTTAAACAGTCATACACTTTTGTCAGTCTGTCTGAATGTAGTTCTTGCGAACGTGTATTTAGAGGTGTATCGAAGCCCAGTGATCCTCTCTGAAGATTGGGGCTTTAAGAGACAGTGTATCTCCAGTGTATCACCAGAAGCACGACAAATCCTGTTTCCGAGATTCTGTTACTAGCCTATGTCCAAAAATCACAAAAGGATGGGGAAGGTGTGCTTGATTTATACAGAAGCTAAATATGCTGCACCTTAGGTAGCTGACTTGCTTCTTGATTAGGAGAAAAAAAGTAATGTTTTACTTAATTATCAGAAAAATGCAAGTTTTTTAGGGTGTTGTTTTTTAGTTGCTTCTGACACATGATCACCTTGTGAATCTGTGACCTCCAGGATATCTTATCCTTAACCACACTACTCAGCCATTACAAACAGAAGGCTGTGGCTTTCTTTATTGAGTCAATGCATCTCATGTTAGGTTTTCCTCTTTTTTTCATGCTGCCTTCAACTCTGCAGCGTTGTTGTCTTTTCCCATGAGTCTGTCTTCTCATGTCGTACCCAGAGTGCCTCTGCTTAGGCACCTTTGCTTTTTCAGAGATGCCAGTCGTGGTTTAATTGGACACCTATTTATCTATCTTCTTCACAGGCCAATTGCTGACTATTTAGCTGGATTGTAGCAGATAAGGTCCCTGGGGCTCCATAGATAGTGATAAATATTGCATTCCTATCAGATTCTTGAACATGCACCGAGCCAGCAGGTGTGGCTGCCCCGCCACACGAGATTCTCAGCCGCGACTTGTTAATTGCTGGCTATGAACTAAATGTTACATCCTTTAACTTTTCACATGTATACCAAAGCAACAGAAATTTAGTGAAAGAGAAGGGAATATGGAATTATTTCAGCTAGACTTGCACAATGCATTAAGATGGCCATGTTACCCCAATTTTTAAGGCTTTTTGTTTGCTTGTTGGAAGTGCAGTATGTTCAGTACATGACTATAATCCACCCTATTCCATTTCAGATATTAAAACATAAAGTGAAGTAAAGGTTTTGAAGTGAATATTCCCACATTTTGACAGCAGACAGGCAGCTGTTCACCCAATTGATGAGCAATAAATAAGATAAAATAAAAGTAATGCAAGAAACATCATAAAATACACTGTCTGGGATGCAGTTGGTTTTGGAGAATATCCAGTATTAAGACTTTGAACCTTGCTTTGGGCCTTGACTCTATAAAAATGTGCACCTGAATTAACTTGAACATGTGGGGTCTAACTCTACGAGAGGTAGGCAAACAGACACAATTGTCCATATGGAAAAGACACTTCCTCTTAAATTACCTTTATTAACTTACCCTGATTGATATTTTTGCTTCTAACATTGGTGCTAGCAATAATCTAACTAAACCAGGAGCCTAAGGAAATCTGTTTGAAGTGACTCCCTACAAGAAACAAAAGAAATACGTTTTCTGATTGTGTGAGGGAAGAATCCCAGCTGTCCAAGAAACAAAATTTCCCACAATAACTGAAGTTAGAACAGTAGTAGATGACACATTGCCTCTTGTATTTCTTTACTGCCTTTAAAATCCACAGTGCAAATAATTATAAATGTTATAAATGGGCCTTTTCTATTCCTTTTTCTATTGAACAGTTCTGCTTTTCCCAGTGAAACTTAAAATCTGGTCCTTTCATATCTTGAAAAATATGATTGCTAGCAGTGTTTTGCCAAAGGCAAGAATTATTTCTCCATAAATCTTACTGGAGAGGCAGCAATGGATCACTGAAATTAAGTGGAAAGTAAGTAAAACCCCATTGTATTCGCAAAGGCTTTCACGGCTGGGATCTAATGGTTGTTCTGGGTTTTTTCGGGCTCTTTGGCCGTGTTCTGAAGGTTGTTCTTCCTGACGTTTCGCCAGTCTCTGTGGCCGGCATCTTCAGAGGACAGCAACCTGTACTCTGGTCACTGTCCTCTGAAGATGCCGGCCACAGAGACTGGTGAAACGTCAGGAAGAACAACCTTCAGAACACGGCCAAAGAGCTCGAAAAACCCAGAACAACCACAAAACCCCATTGGTTTCAATGATACTTGGATTCTCCAGAGCTTTCATCAGTCTCCCCAATGGGATTCTTTTCTTGGGTTTTGTAATACTGTACACCTCTTGCCACCTAAACCACTGCATGTTGTGGCTGGAGCTGATGTGTGCTGAAGAAGGCTGGAACATCAGGTAATGTAAGGGTCCTTAGCACTAATGTGAATTGTCTCTTAATTGTGCTAGGATGCGGTTCTTCGCTGTTCTTGACAAAATTTGGGGGGGCAGCTACATCTCCCCTGTCTTTATGAACCAGATGCTATATTTGCACAGTCCCAACAAAAGCACATCTGAAAACAGAGTTACCTTTTGCTGCCATATATTTGAGGTGGGAACTTTTCTAGTAAAAGTCAGTGCTTGATTCATAAAGAGAAAGGTAGGAAAGCATGGACTAAAAAAACAACAACCCTGAATTATCGTTCCATCACACCCCTCTCTCAGAATGTAGATATAAATCCTCGCAAATACACACACCTGTCTCTCATGTTTGTTTGTTTGTTTCATAGTGGCATAACAACATTCCCTTTGTACAGCGTTGTACTGATGACATCATTAACTTTGCTGCACAACACATGCCATTTTATGTGTTGCTTTTTCACATTGTTGTGGGAGGAGAAGAACAAAAGCTTGGGAGAACTTTGGAGAGACTTGTTCAAATCTTAGGTTGTATAGTCTCCATTTTTTTCTCCAGAAAAACCATGAGCAATATAATGACTAATGAAACAGGTGGCTCAGGTTTGCTCTGCCTCAGGCAATAAAACAGAGTTAGCCCTGTAAGAAGGGAAAGTGAGAAGTTGTACAGAAGGCCCTTTGATTGTCAGCATGAGGTATGGTCTGCTTGGAAGCATTGAGCCTGACCACATTTGTTATAATGCACGTGGTGGCGCTGTGGGCTAAACCGCAGAAGCCTGTGCTGCAGGGTCAGAAGACCAGCAGTCGTAAGTTCGAATCCACGCGACAGAGTGAGCACCTGTCACTTGTCCCAGCTCCCGCCAACCTAGCGGTTCGAAAGCATGCAAATGCGAGTAGCTAAATAGGTACCACCTCGGTGGGAAGGTAAACAGCGTCCGTGTCTAAATCACACTGGCCATGTGACCATGGAAGGATTGTCTTCGGACAAACTCTGGCTCTATGGCTTGAAGAGCGGGATGAGCGCCGCCCCCTAGAGTCGGTCACGACTGGACAAAAATTGTCAAGGGGAACCTTTACCTTTACCTAAAATAGATAGGAGATGTTGCATGAATAGGCGCTCTCAGTAAATACAAAAACTGAAGTACTAAGTCCCTAGATTTGAAACAGAGGAAGAGATGACTTTGATTTCTTAATATGTTTTTAAGCAAAACGTAGCATTGAAGCTGAAACAAATAAATGTATCACAGAGCATTAAATACCATTGAGACCCATTGGCAGTAATTGGCAAGGTTAGGAACCAAGGGAATATGTTAGCTGTGATCGTGATAATTTAATGTTTCAATAATGACTTAATGGTCTAGTCAGTTTGGGCAAGCCTTTAGCCTGTATGGAGATTTCAGCTTGAGAAAAAGCAGCCATACTCCCTATTGATAGTTTTGTCCTTCCTAACAGAATGAATATCAGATGTCCCTTTCATGTACCCATTATCAGAGCTTGAAAGTAACTCGTTACAAATAATGTATTGCTTGTAAATATTTTTCCTAATAACAAAATCATTATTACTTTATATATGTGCAAATAATTTACATTACATTAACAATATCCTGTTAATGAAGGATAACACAACTTTTTTGCATGATAACTTTAACTTTTAGTAATTTTCAGATAAGACACGGCCTCACAAAATGGTGGAAAGGGAGCATCTGTTGCTGCCTCCAGCTCTTTGGAGGTGTTGAGGTGACACCAAGGTGGGTGTGGGGAGAGTCTCTCCAGTGCAACAGCAGAGCCAGGATTTTCCAATTTACACAGAATGCCTCTGGGGCAAATCAGCACAAAGCCAGTGTCCTTGCCCTTAAGAAGCACAATGCTCATGTAAAGCACAGAATTACCAGAGAAGGCTCGCAAATAGTAATTGAAGATTGGAACAACCCATCCAGTGGTTCACATATTTAAAAGTCCATGAAACGAAGCAGCAACTTTCACACTGTTGCACAGTTGTATAAAACCATCCCTCTTGCAGGACAGGGAGGGAAAAAAATACAATTCCACATAGTTGCCATCAAGGATGAGACTTTGCACCCCTGTTCAAAAGCCTTGCTCCACACTGTTGATGATCAGCATGTGGAGCTACCCCCCACTGTCTTTGCTCCATTCTCCATGTTTTAAAAGAGGTCTGAAGAGGTCAGCCTGTTCCACACGGTAAGACCATTTCTCCTATTGCAACCTTGTATGGTTCTCAGCAAGAAAGGTGATAGTGGGTGACTTCTGCTTGCAGAGCAGGATGCTCGGTTGAGATCTGAACAACACATGGACAGTGAGGGGGAATGGGGCCAGATCCTCCTCTTCTGCTCCCTGCAATGTTAGTTGCAAGGAGAAGAACACTGAGGCAAGCCTAATGCATGCTGGGCCTTTTAAAATAGATTTTATTTAATTTTCAAACAAAAACTTTCTGTTGTCTCCACAGAGGATCAGCCCAGTTAATGGATCAAAAGTAACGGCCAGAAGTTGTTTTCCTCTGTGGTAGTTAAACTGCTAATTCACTTTTCATTATTTTCCTTTCAAATACATTATCTTGGCATAGTGATGTGCCTGAAAATATCCACAAATGTCATCATTTAATTATGGGTTTTAAAACACACAATAAGGATTTAAAATATTCTGTAACTACAGAACCCAGTGAATCTTAACTCTGGTGAGGCTTATCAAGGACTCTTTAAGTGGCACTAAGTATATGTGTTATTATAGATAGGGCTTAAGAAAGGGAAGAACAGAGAATGAATGCCAGCTAAGCCATGGAAAAATAAATATCTGCTTTTCATGAGAATGCACACCATGTTTGTCTGAATCGCATCAAGAAGAGTTAGATCGAAGAGTTGTTTAAAGGCTTATCACATTGCATGGTTATTACATGGAGAAAATGAGTTTACAGCAGCAACAGATGATCTTAACTTCCATGACTGTCAGTACTGTTGTTGTCGCTCGTTTGTACACCGTCTAGAGTGGCCTGGCAGCCAGACAGGCGGTATAAAAATGGAATAAATAAAATAAAATAAGTAATGGCAAACCCTGTTTTCCTGATGATGCCCCAGATATAAGTTGTGAAGAAGCAGTGTGTGATCGAGGTTAGGATATTGGACTAGGATGTAAAAAAAAAAAATCTAGTTTTTAGCCCCCTCTGTGCCCTGAAACTCTTGAATGGCCTCAGGCCAATCACTCTCCCTCCCTCAACCTCTCCTACATCACAGAATTGTGAGGATAACATAGGGAGAAAAATCATATGATGCCGCCTCGTACTATGTGCAAATGCAAATGAAACGAATAAAGAAATGTGATAAATATTTAAAAGCAAAATATTTGAGAGGCTCATCATTTTCATGAAAAAAGGCATGTTTATACAGGAGGTTCTTCACCATGCAGTGGAATACTGCTGGAAAAGGTGCAAACCTAGTCTTGTGGAGCATAGGTTTCCACAATTTAAGTCCAGCAAGGCCCTTTCCATTATCCCCATCCATTGTCCTTCTACCGTAGTTGGAACATAGAGAAAAGGTCTTCAGTCAGCTGTGAGGATTCAGACAGGTTGGTATGAGGGAAGGTGGTCGCTACAGAAATATAGTCTTGAGTTTTTCAAAAGTCATTGTCAACATTTTGAGTTGTATCTGGAAGCCAGTTGGTAACTGGAGCAACCCTTAACAGAAAGATGTGACATGATCCAAGAAGTATACAGCTTCCAGCTCTCTCAGAGTTACTTTCTGTACCAAACACAATTCCTGAGCATTTGTCAAAGATAGCCCTGTATAAAACAAACTGCAGTAATCCAACCAAGGATATAACTAAGAGTCACATCCAGACCATTAACACTTTTTCCTCCAGCCATAGAATCTTCTGAGAGATCCATGCGTACTCTCAGAAATGAGACTTGTATGTCAAGTCCATGTTTTCTTTCCAGGAATCAATGACAACATGAAACATTCTCAATGCAAGATATATAGGTGAAAAAAAAAATCTTTGCTATGACGAAAAGGTATCTTCTATCATTTGGAGGAGCACCTCTGCAAAAACAAACAAATAAAAAACACCAGAGTGATGTATTATCTGATTTGACCCCAAGGCATCAGTCACTATGCTCACTTTTCTTTAGTATTTTTTTTAAAAAATGTGCACCGTTTGGATAAAAATATGATGGTACTATGCTCACTTTTCTTTAGTATTTTTTTAAAAAATGTGCACTGTTTTGATAAGAATATGATGGTACCAGAAAATCAGACAGTGGCTATATGGTATTACTTTCAGCTCTTTTTACAGTTGTGTCCTGAGTTTTTAATTTTTATTTTAATTTAATTTTTTTAGTAATTGAACACAAACTAAGATGTGTATTTGTAAACTTTTAAATAAATGTATCATCATCATCATCATCATATCCTGGACACAGTTGCCAGGAATATGTATTGAATTTGGAATTTAAATTATGTTCAACAACCAGGTAACACAGCCAGGGCAGTAATCTTGAGGCTGCCTGACAAATCCTAGTGACTTTTGTGAATGTCACCAAATTACCTTTGCATTGTTTACTATTCTTTCATCTCAAAGAATGTTGCTAAATGATTGACTCTCAACCTTTTCTGTATTGTTTTCTTAGCTTATGATGCTGAAAGTGACCTTCAACCGCACCTCTATGGATCAATGCAAAGAATCCTGCAGCCAAACCCAAAGCAACATACTGCAGCCTGAGTGCAATTTCTTCTTAACTGCCATCCGCTTGGCTTCACTGAATCAGATCTTGGACCCCTGGGTTTATCTGCTGCTCAGGAAGATCCTCCTGCGAAGGTTTTGTCAGTTAGCCAATGCCATTTCCTGCCGCTCTCAGGACGAATGGAAAGGACAACACTTTATGTTATCAGACAAGATCACGCCCACAACAGCATAAAACAACTTCCGTGTTTAACAACTGCCCTTGTGTCATCTTTTACCAGGGCTGGGGACATCTGGCCCTTCAAATGTTCTTAGACTGCATCTTTCATTAGCACTAGCCAGCATAGCTGACAGTGAGACGGGTGTTGGGACTTGGAGATGGACAATATCTAGGGTGTAGTATGTTCTTCATCCCATGGCCAGGATCCATTTGGGTGTGTCCATTGATAGAAATGCATCCCTCAGTGGAACAGGGAGATGCAACCTGCCTTCCCCAAAACAGGGCTGGGAAACTCTTCAGAGCCGGCTTTTAAGCAATAGCAATGGCCGTGGGAGGGAAAGGGGAAAAAATTCTGCTGTGCAGGCACTGCAGAGCCGATGCATGTTGGCTTTACACACATATCTTGTACCTTACTGTGAATCGGAGCATCCAGTGCATGGCCATTTTTCCTCTATAAGTAAAATGCAGGGATGTGATACATTCAGTGGATTTAAAATGGAAAATTATTATTTTTCTTTTTAATATCTGTTAGAAAAAGATAAATTATGAAGACAGGACAATGCTATTTTTTTAATGTAGGTATTGACATAGTATGTAAGAATAAAATTTCTGTGTGACTGCCGAAGACCTCTGGGAGATGTTCCTGCTATTCAAAGAGAGAGGTGTGTAGTTTTTAAAGTGGAAGCTTGTATGCAGACTAAATGTTGATGATGATAATAAAGACTGTACCTTACGTCAGATTAATGTTGTTGTCAGATATTTCCTTTTATTTCCAGCCTTCTATTTTATATACTGGTTTAACTGAGAAGGAAAGGTGCTGTAGTGATTATAGTTATGCGTGCGCACTGCTCCCCTGGCCACATTAGTAGCCAATAAGGGAACACAAGTTGGTGCCTGACCCACTCTATAACTTTCTGGAGACACTCAGATCCAATCCTTGTCTAGGTCCATGTTGGTGCTTGTGCATTTTTGGGCCTCCGGGGGGGGGGAACTATTTCAGAAAATGAAAACAGCAAAGCCAAGTCACAGACAGAACAAATGGTACAATTGCACCAGCCCTCAAGGTTTTTTGGGGGGGGGCTGAAATAGAGGTGGAACAGAGGGGTTTCTGGCGAGGGCAATGGTTGTCTGCAGAGCCGAGCACTCTGTTTTATTCCCCGCACGTGTCCCCCCTCCCAGAAGCTAGGAGAAATCCCCAGTCTCACCAGTGAGGAGAGCAGCTTCCTAAGGCAGCCAAGGAAAAGAGGGTGAGGGAGGGATTTTGAAAGGGCAGTGAGCATGACCCTTTCATTCCTCCTTAAGGGCAAGGCAGCAATCCTTCTCATCCTTCACCCCACCTGGAATTTCACAGCATCCTCTCCCTTTCTTAGCCCTCTTTTCTGCCAGCCATCAGCACAGGAAGTAATTTGCATCTTATCTTAGAACTACAGAGCTGGAAGGGACCCTATGGATCATTGAGTCCAGCCCCCTGTCAGGGAGGCACAGCGGGGAATCAAACTCCAACCTCTGGCTCTGAAGCCAGAGACCTAAACCACTGAGCTATCCTATCCAGCAGTTCTAATCAGTAGGTTTGTTCAAGAAAACAAGAAATAATAATTGTTTTATTTCTGTTGAAAAGGAAACCTTCCAATCCTGTTTCTGTACTTCCTGGAAAGAGTTAGGAGAAGGTCATGTGATTCAGGATTACACAAACACAAGAGTTAAGTGATATATTTCTCAAATGACTTAAAAATCACACAAATTGCAAGATTTCTCAGCCCATGCACTCCCCCTCCATGGATAGCTCTGAAAAAAACGTAGGTCAGAATCCCAGAATTCATGGCAGATGGCTTTGCTGAGTCTGCTTATATGAGTTCTGTCTTTCCTCTTTTGCTCCTTCCTCCTCTCACTCTTTCCTGGATCTGAGATCAGTGGTGTAGTGACCCCCTTCCGCTGTTGTTCTCTGACCACAAGGGCACAAGGTTTTGGACAACTTCAGAAACACATCTTTCAACAGTACAGAGTTTCAGGACTTAGTCAATGGTTTTGCAGCAGGAAAGGTGAGAAAGGTTCGTTTTTAAGGTAAAGGTAATGAGCACACTGTCATCCACAAGCACCAGCTCACCGTCCATAGCTGCTCTTCCCACTTGTAATCCTGATGTGTCTTCTTAAATTTTAACATTATAATTATGCAAATGGCAGATGTAACATGGGATTCTGTCATTTGGTCACTCTGGAAATGTTCAGATACCTCAAATATAGTTCATATTTATGTGTTTTTCCCCAATTCTAAAAAAGTCTCATTTACGATCTCTGCTCAGAGCTGCCCCCTGTCTTCATCTTGGCAGGTAGATACGTTCCATCTGAATACAATACATACTGGCATCCAGGAGAAATCTTTTGCTACCAGAGAAATGGTTCCTACAATGACAGGCTCACATTCCACCAAGAGTAGTTTTGCCAAAAAGGCAATCCAGCATCAAATCTTTCCTCCCAAGACCCCTCAGAAACATTTGCAGCCTTTACTTAGCTGTTGTCACAACTCTAATGAAGGGGCAGAGAAAAATCTATCTCTCTGCAATGATCTTGCCAATTTAGACACAGCTCTGGTCAGCCATCTGTACCACCACCGCAGCAAGCATAATTTAATTCCTTCCCATTGGTTTCATTGGGAGGGAAGTGGTTTTTAAAAGAAATAGAGGCAGCCACAGAGGAAAGGGGAAACAATGGCAATAGATTTTCTCCCTCTCTTCCACTCTGGAAGATTGAAATTTGCAGAATAGCAGGCAAGTTGAAGCCTCTGACATTGGACTGCTCCATCAAGACTCCAATCCTTTAAAAAGTTGAAAACCTCCATGTGATTTTCCCCCTCCAGGCTGAGAGTCTAATCTAATGTAAATTGGCTTCGTGTTTGTTTTCTTTCCATTCCATAGGTTGTGTAACATGTCAGAATGACCTTCCAGGGGAATTTTGCTCTAGTGGAGTTTTCTGTCCATGGCAGTTGTGTAGAAATGCTGTCTGACAAGGAACAAGTTCTCTCGGCTGCTGGTTGATTAGTGAAGGAGAGCAGAGATTTGTGAACAACAACAGGATAGAACCGCTTCTTCATTTCTGTGCTAACTAGAACTCCACCAGTACTTGCCCTACCCCGCATGTATAATAAAATAAGATGTAGAAATTGTGAGGTACCTGAATCTAAGATTTATATAAACTTTCTTAGTGCTTCTGTGGGAAAAGAAGTAAAGAATGAAGAAGAAAAATAAATACATTTTTTCTATTCTAAGGCAAAGAAAGAGAAGATATTTCCTTTTATATTTGCTATGATTTGTTGATAAAATTTGTTATCTTCTGGCCTCACGGAGCTGAAGTTCCACCTGGACTTCTGTACATTTTTGCCCCACTATAAACCTGAACCTAAGTATGCAGGTGCACATTGAGAACACTGCTTTGTAACAGGATAAGGGGTCCATGAGCATAATGTTGTATCAGAGACCTGATTACTTTTCATAGATACATTTTTATAGCTAAGCTCATAATATGACAAAATCAATTGTCTACAGAAAGGTCCTACAGTGCAACTATTTTTTGCTCAAAGTCTTAGGTCAGAGATTCAGAAATCCAGGATTTACAACCAGCATTTGTTAGCATGACCCATCTAGCAAAGTAAAAATCAAGATCAACAAGACCAGACTTGTAAGCCAGAATGATTCACAACAGGACAGACTGAGAAAAGAAGATGTTAAGCACACCACTTGTCTCCTGTAGCTGCCAGCTAAAAGCACTCAAAACACAGCATTGCCAAGGCAGAAATAACTTTTGATTTAAAGGAAGAAAGATTGACCATTGGGAGGTAAGGCCAGCCCTCATTTGTAAAACTGTTCAGACATAAACATTAGTGAAATCAGGTCTCTGGGACACTAACATTATTCCACAGTGCAATCAGACAGAGAAGTACCTTGTATTTTGGACCACTTGTGGCACAGTCTGTTGAAAACTTATAGTCTGGTGACCAGATAATGTACCAGAGACCATTTCAGTCCAGCAGCAGGGCTCCTGTTTTTTAAAGCTGAACTAGATCAATTCCTGTACACACAGAAAGGCCACTTAAAGGAGATCACTCCCAGTGAAATCACCCTTTCTGACTGCATCCTCAGCAAAACCATGGTCCATCTGTAAAGTGCAGTTTGGCCCAAAGAAAAAAGAAATAAATTAACACCCAGATTCTCCTCCTTAGCAAACAAAAAGTATAGTGACACTGCCCACAACCTAAATAGAAGGTTTGTGAGATGAAACCCACCCTGGCAGACTAAAGTAAGGCATCAAGGGGAAAAAATGGTCCCGAGCCCTGCCAAAGAAAGGTCAACAAGCTGACCTTAGCTGCACTTAGCATCCTGCTTGTAAAAGATGATTGTGCAAGCAACATTTTTCTAGCAGAAGAGATACAAAAGATGCAATCATAATGATTACATACCATGGATTCCAACTTACGATGACCCTTCTCAGGGTTTTCTAGGTAAAGAATGCTCAGAGATGATTGACAATACCTTTCCTCTGGGGCATTCTTGGACTGGGCAGTTTGCCCAGGGCTATGCAGGCTGGCTTTTCTCTTGGGATGCACAGTGCAGAACCAAACTCCTGACCTTTGGCTCTGCAGCCAGGTACTGAACTCACTGAGCTATCCAGGCAGCTCAAAATATCCAGATGTAACATTTAAATTTTTTATAAAGCTTATTTAAAACACAACCGTGAAAGACCTAGCCATAACCAAATCAGTTAGACTAGGGGTTAGCAGCTTCCCATGGGACAGAGGCCACATCACACATACCCCAAGCCTCTTCTCTGCCCCTTGAAACATCATCCAACAATATCTAAAGGTCCGAACTTTGTTCCCCCCAAAACAGAGTGACCTGGTATGGCTGCCTGCCTAACTATAACCAGGGCTATTCAGGCTGGTAACTGAATCGGAGCACTCGACGTCATTCTGATGTGGCTCCCACCTTGAATCCCATTTGTGCATCTGTGCTCATACTATTATTTTGGAAACTTTTGGATGGCGTTAAGCTGGCTGCAAGAACAAATGCAGGCTCAATTACTCTCTGCACCTTTGACATCATGACAAAGAGAGAAGAGAGCATCTCCACTGTTGGTCTCTTAACAATTTGGAAGAAGGAACAATTTTTATTTCTTGGCACAAATTGTTCTTTGACACGTCTTGGTCGTGCACAAGATCAATCTATCAGGGACAAGTCCCAGGTAAAAAGACTCTCCAAGACATTGTGTTGCTGGAGATCAGTCCATCCATTGTTACAGCTCTGATTAGTTGTCAGTCCCTTCCTTCATCAGTATAGGGGGCATTTTGAAGTGGAAGGAGAAAATAAAAAAGACAAAATGATCTAATCAAGCATCTAATTCATTTCCTTCTTTTCTCTGAGAGAAATGAAGTATGGATCACTTGAGCATAGAACAATGTCAAGTCCCACAAAATCATGTTACATGAGTTTTTCCATCTAAGTAATATGGGTCATGTTCACAGAATGCATTTTTTCTTGAGTAGCTTCCTCCCATCCACACACAGCAGAACTAAATAGCAGTGGCTATTAGTGTTAAAAATGAAAGAAAACAAATAAAGGAGCATGTGTGATTTTTATAGGTACAGTGGGGTCTCTACTTAAGAACTTAATCCGTATTGGAAGGTGGTTCTCAAGTGGAAAAGTTCTTATGTAGAATCTGCATTTCCCATAGGAATGCATTGAAAACCATT